AGCCCTCTCCTGAATGAATCTGTTTGCTTTCTTGGCAGTCCATTAGGGTGAGCATGAAACAAACTGCTTTATTTGAGATCAGGAAAGCCTGTCTTCCCTCCTCCCATAGTCCAGGTGGCATCTCATACGGGCCAAGACATCAGAGACCTAGCCATGTGGATGTTAACCAGGTGATATATTACAACCAGGCTAATTTTAACATTTTTAAGTGTGCAACTCAGTTGCATTAATTACACTCACCAGGGTGTACTTCCATTACCACTGTGTATTTCCAGATTTTAAAAAATCATCTCAAGCAAAATTCAGTATCATTTAATCAAGAACTCTCATTTCCCCTTATTCCAGCCCTTGTTCCTATTGTACAGCATTGAGTCAGAAATGACCCATAGCTGACTCTCAAGTGGGTTTTCAGAAGTAGTAAGTCACATGAGAGGTGATTGCTCATCTTTCACCCACAGAGCAGATGGTGGATCCAAACCACTTAGCTTTCAGTTGGCAATAAAAGTCCTTACCACTAAGCAACCAGAGCTCCCTATTCCAGCCCCTAGTAACCATGAATACATTCTGGTTTTTGGGTAGCTATCTACTTTATATTTCACATAAATGGGATCATATAATACTTGTCTTTTAATGTCTGGCTTATTTCACTCAGCATAATGTTCAAGATTCATTCATATTACAACATTGTATGTTGTTGTTGTTATGTGCCATCGAGTCGTTTGTGATTCATAATGACCCTATGTACAAGAGCCCTAAACCCTGCTCTAGCCTTTTGGTCTCCAACACACCTACTCTCACTATCCCAATCACTGAATCTATCTATCTTATCAAGGGTCTTCCTCTCCTGCCCTGTCCCTCCACTCTCCCAAACATGATGTCCCTCTCCAAGGACTGGTCCCTCCTTGCAACATGCCCAAAGTATGTCAGACGAAGCTTCAGAATCCTTGACTCCAAGGAGCAACCTGGCTTCACCCTCTCCAGAACAAACCTGTTTGTTCTCCTAGCAGTCCATGGTATATTCAACACTCTTCTCCAGCATCACAGCTCAAAGGCATCAATTCTCTATCATCCCTAGTCACTGTCCAGCTCTCCAATGCATAGCACGTAATTGTGAAAACTAAAGCCCTGATCAGGCGCACCTTAGTCTCCAGCCTGACGTCTTTGCTCTTCAGTACTCTGTAAAGGTCCCTGACAGCTGACTTTCCCAATGCAATTTGTCTCTTGATTTCCTGGCTGCTGGTACCAAGTGTGTACTGCAGAGCCAAGCAAAAGAAAACTGTTAACTGTCTCAATCTCTTCACCACCCATACTGATGCTTCCAATTGGCCCGGTGGTGAGAATCTTTGTTTTCTTGATGTTGAACTTCAATCCATATTGAAGGCTGCAGTCTTTGACCTTCTTCAGCAAGCGCTTCAGGTCCTCCTCAGTTTCAGCAAGCAGGGTGTGTCATCTGCATAACGCAGGTTGTTGATGAATTTTCCACCAATCCTGTTGCCATATTTCTCCTCCAGCATCCTGGATGATCTGATCTGCACACAGATAAGAGGGAAATTTTCTTTGTGGGAAAATAATATTCATGATGTGAATATATTTTATTTATCCATTCATCTACTCATGTGCATTTGGGTCATTTCCACCTTTTGGCTATTTTTAATAACTTTAATACTTCTTTTATAAAAAGGACATTTTTGTTGAAGTACAACACAAAATAAATCTTAATTATATAGGTCAATAATTTCACAAACTGAACACTCTCACATCATCAGTATCTGATCTATATACATGCATTATCTTCCTCCTATTTCCATTTACTATGTCATGACAGGAAAAAGCAGCTGTGATTTCAACAGAATATTTAAGAGTTTTATTGTATCAACATAACAGGTCACTGTAGTAGGAGAGCTCAACACTGCCAAGACAAGAACCAATTCAGCTCTGCCCAATAATTCAGCAAGAACTCTTTCTTCATCAATGCATATTCAATTTTCTACACCTATCGGTACAAACATTTTAAATGCCAGAAATGAGACTAGCATAGGATGGACTCAGTGCAAATATCACAACCACATTGTTGTTGTTGTTGCATGCCTTCCATTTGGAACAGACTCACAGCTGACCCTGCAGTAGACAGATTTTCATAGACTGTAAATCACACAAGAGAAGACTACCTTTCTTCTGAGGAGTAGCTTGTGGATTTGAACCAGCAGCTTTTGACTTAGAAAACCATTGACAGGGATGCGTTTAGGATAGATAATTTAACACACAGTTCCCTGTTGCTCTTTTTTTCTCACTGGAAAGGGCTCAGAGTGGTTTGACAGCAAAGTCTTGGAATGATTTCTTGTTCTAGTTCTCTATTTCATCAATTTCAAGAAAACAAGAGAACAAAATATTGTTTACACTTGGAGCTTTTGAGTGGAGATTACGAAGTACACTGAACAGACTTATGATGATGAGAAGGTGTACTGATAATTCAGTGAGAAGCTAGTTTAATAAAATGTGGTATGTTTGGGTTTTTTTAATATGGCAAATATGCCTTATTTAAAATATGTGCTTTGGTGAAAGTAGGCTGAGGCTCATTTGGCCTTCATAAAATGTTTTTGCTTTTTTATTCTTTAGCCTTTCAAGTTTCTTGGAAGGCTGTGTGTGTGTGTGTGTGTGTGTGTGTGTGTGTCTGTGTGTGTGTATGTATATATAAAAATTATCCTTAAGATGTATCTTGACATGCATAATTAATAAAACTCAAGAACGGTTCATGCTTAGTGCTAGACGTTAACTAGTGTTCCGGGAAGAATTAGTATTCTAGGTAGAATTACACGTTCACACCCTCTGAAGGCACGTTGGGAACTGATAATTCATCATTACAGTTTAGGGAGAATTATACAAGTCATGTAAAGCCAGTACAGCTACATGAAAGAGCTACTTTAACGTTAAGTATCTTTATTTGAAATAGCTTTAATTTCTTTTCTCCAAGTGCTATACTCTTTATTTGGGAATAGCCATACGACCAGCCAATGAAAATTCAAAAAATAAGCATTTGCCAGAAAATTACATATTATTTGCCTAAATCTGTAAGGTAATTCAAGGGAGTTATGATGGCCTAGTGGGTAAGGAGTTGTGCATGCGGTTTGAATCCATTAGGGGCTTCATGGAAGAAAGTTGGGCAATCTGATAACTTGTGATTTACTACCTCTGAAAACGCGCTGAAGCGTCGGCTAAGTGGATTCAAACAGGATGGCACATAATATCAAGAAGTTAATGAAACACACAAGTTTACTGAACAGTCGTCCAAATAGAGTCCTAATTAGGTACAAATATTCAAATTCTTTTAATAAATAAATATGAGTGAATAGACTGGAACTGAGACTATTATCATGAAAGCGCCAAAAAGTATTCACTACAAAAAGTATTTCTAAGCTTGAGCCATCTGAAAAAGTTGTTAGTGCTTAACTTACACTGGGGTAAACGTGACCTCAAAGTTAGTAAGCGTTAGGAACAAGAAATTAGAATTCAGTATTATGACTCAAATTTGAAGCCAACACTACTAGATAAGGGAGTTTTTTGGATCCAGAGCTACGGAACAAACCCAATAAAAGAAGGCAGGGTTTCCGAGGTAGCCACTACGGCGTCACCCTGACGCCCAGGCGGACCGGAAAAGGTAGGTGGAACGACGGGCCGGGAGAGGGGTTTCCGGAAGCTGCTCGACGGGAACTACATTTCCCACAAGCCCCGGCAGGGCAAAGGGAGGGCGTCGGGGACGTTACTGGACAGGCCTTTCCCGGCACTATCAAGGTAAATGCCGGCACTGCGGCTTCGAGAGAAGAGTAATCTATGGTCTATGTCTCTTCCTCGTTTAGATTTATAGTAGTAATCCTCCCAATCCACCCCAACATCACGAAAACGACTCCTCCTATCTGGCAGCTTCGCGATTCTGGGCCGCCCTACGCCACTCCCTATTACCCCTTCCCTATTACCGCCACTGTAATGATAGGCCTAGGCCTGTTATTGGATGCTTATTAAACCTAGACAGGTAAAAACCCAGGGCACCCTTTCCCAAGACTGACGTTACATAATGGTTTCTTGTTCGACTCCCTGCCCTCCCTAAATCTCCTATTAAATCGGGCTAGGCTGTAGAGGCTTAGTGGTAAGAAGCTGCGCTGCAATCCCAAAGGCTCGCAGTTCAAGTTCACCAGCAGCTAGGAAGGAGATTATATGGGTAATCTCCTCTGATTTACTGATAGTGTGATTTACTACTTCTGAAAAACCGCTGGAGGGTCAGCTGAGTCAATTAGCCCTGTCCTTATGGGGAAGGTGTCTTCCCTCCCCTGGCCTTTCCTTGTGGCGCGTGACTTCTCCTTTGCTTGCAACTTGGCCTTCCTTTCCTGTGAGCCAAACGCTGCCGACATCACTGATCACTCTGATTTCTTTAAGCTGCCCTTTCGGATGGCATAATTATTTGACATTGGAGAGGTTAAGTAGCTTGCCTTAAGTTACAGAATTTAAATGACAGATTACATCTCATTAACTTTCTCAAAGCTTAACCTTAAAGAAAGCTGGTTCCTGCGGAGTCATTTATTTGCCCACTGGTGTCGACTGGGCTGCTTTTTGGCCCAGGCACAGAACCCTCCCCTAGTCCTCTGCGCGATCCGCCTGCCTGCCTGGACTTGAGCTTTCCATTGCACCGTTTAAAAAGCAAGCAGCTAGGTTACTTCGCAGGTTGGAACAGGCGAAATCACCTGTTTGTCTTTCTTGAGGACCTTTTTGGTGGACACGGACCAGGTCGCGTCAAGAAAGCAGCCGCAGAGCGGGTGGGTGGAGTCTGCAGAGAAGGCGCGGGGCTGCAGCTGTGGCGTCCTCCGGTGACTCTGGGGCGGGGCTGTGGGTGGGCGCGGACGAACGGACCCCGCCGGGATGGGGGGTGTGGCTGCTCTGCCGGGGTTCTCGGGGTGGGAGAGCCGCGCCGTGAGCTCCAGTGGCCTAAATCCCGCTGCCGCTTGCTAGAGATGCTCTTCCTCTCGGTGAGTTGTTTTTCCTTCTTCGCGGACGGACGAGGTTTTCAGCCTTGGTCACGCCCCGGGGAGGAGGAAGGCGGCTGACAACCTAGGTCTGTGTGCCCTGGATAGGGCAGGGCAAAGGGGACTGACTGATCAGCTGTGCTCTTCGGCCACCCCCTCCTTGGGGCATGTTGATCCGCGGCTGCGCTCCATGTTCCAGTTTCATGCAGGCTCCTGGGAAAGCTGGTGTTGCTGCTGCCTGATTCCACCCGACAGACCTTGGAATCGGGGCCGACGCTGGCTGCTGGAGATGGCGGACACAAGATCTGTGCATGAAACCAGATTTGAGGCGGCCGTGAAGGTGATCCAGAGTTTGCCGAAAAATGGTAAGTGCTCTCGGCCCTTAATTAATGAAAAAGCCTCATGCAGAGGCCCCAGTTGCTAAACCTCATTCTCTCAGTCTTGCTTATTTATTCTCCGCCCCTCCCCTCCCCCTGTATTAAAAGAAATGTAATTGAAGGGGAGATAACTGCATGTGAATTAAATACCTGCTGATCTTTCAAGCTAGAGGCAGGTTATTTCGGTTTAAGGAGTTGTTGGGAGGTGGGGAAAGCACAATAATCAACCATAATCTGACTGCAGATTTGAGTGAATTTAAAAAAAGAAATCAGCAATGGTGCGCCTGGTGCCGCATACTCATTAGACTCTACAGTTTAAGCCTTTTGGAAACTTTTGATCGAAAGAGAAAAAAAAAGCCATTTGTGAAATGATTTAGTTTTTATATATGTTTATGTGTGCGTATTTATATTTACTGCATTTTACAAATATTTTGTTAGACTGATATTTTACTGTATTTGTGTTTTGATGTTCTCTTTTGTGTACTCATTGGACGTTGGCAACTTTGTAGAAAAGTCACTGGAGATGTCCACTTGTATTTTATGTGTCATTTTTCTGGCTGCTTTCAAGATTTTTCCGTATCTGCTTTTGGGTAGTTTGAATATATCTAGGTGTGGCTTCCTTGATATTTATTCTTTTTGGGATTTGAACTTGTAAATTTATATCATATGTTATGAATTATTCAGATAAAATTTTGCAGATTGTTTTCCACCCTTAGAGAGAGGAACTTTAAGCATGTCTTTTAAAACGACCTATGAATACCCATACTTAAATATACTCTTAAAGAGTTGCAAAGCCAGTACACTAATTAATTACTATAGCTTTTAAGGTAGATTTAAAAAAAGATAGATTGACATGGTGACTGTAATAATGAGCTTAAGTATTTCACAGATGATGAGGATGGCACAAGATAGGGCAAGGTTCAGATCTGTTTTTCATAGAAACACTGTGAGTCACAGTTGACTCCATGGCAGTAATAGTAACAACATAGCTTTTAATGTTTTTGTTTACATCACTCATTTTGTTGTTATGTGCTCTATCTCTTGCCAATCTTTTTGTCTCTGACACACCTATCCCCATTACCCCAGTGACTGAATCAATCCATCTCATTGACGGTCTTCCTCTCCTGCGCTGTCCCTCCACCCTCCCAAGCATGATGTCCCTCTCCAAAGAGTGATCCTGCATAGCAGCTTGTCTAAAGTATGTCAGACTGAGCTTCAGAATCCTTGCCTCCAAGGAGCAGCCTGGCTTCAAACACACCAGGAAGAACTTGTTTGTTCTTCTAGCTGTCCATGGTATACTCAATACTCTTCTCCAGCAACAAAGCTCAAAGGCATTAAGTCCCCTTCTATCATCTTTAGTCATTGTCCAGCTTTCTGATGCATAGCAAGCAATTGTAAAGACCATGATTTAATGAAGTAATAAATATTTATTTATCCCGATTCTATATATGTTTATTAAATGCAATTTAGCTGGTTTGTAAACAATCTGCAATGCAATTAATAAATTTTATGTGACCTTTCTTGTTATGGTCTTTCAATTTCCACCAAATGATTGTGGAGTTGTGGTTATGGTGGTGGATAGTATGTGTACTATCAAGTCGGAACCGAACCATAACTGACTCCCCAGCGAGTTTTCAGAGGCAGTAAATTGCATGGCAAGAGAGTGTCCATCCTTCTCCCATAGAGCATAGATGGGGACTGTGTGTGTTGAGATTGCAGTGCAGCTTCTTAGCACTAGGCCACCAGAGCTCCCTAAATAATTGGTGCAGCTATGCAAATAAGGTACTGTGACCCACCAAGGAGATTGAATAGCTTGCTAATATTGGGGGGTGAGGAAGGAAAGGTGCATTGCAGTCCACTCTTGGTGGAAGTTAGATCATGCAATATATGTATAAAATACTAACTAAGGATATAATCCGTTCTCCCATCCTGCCAGGGAGCTATGATGGCATAGTGGCTGTGCTGCAATCCTTAAGGCTGGTGGTTCATATCTGCCAGCTGCTCTGTGGGAGAAGGATGGGTTGTCTCCCCCTGTGTGATTAACTGTCTCTGAAACCTAAAGAGTTAGCTGTGGTTCTTTTCTGTCTGGATGGTACACAAAAACACCCCCCCACCCCCACCCCACCTATCCTACTATGCTTAAAATGAGCCAGCCCTAAAGCAGACAGAAGGTAAAAATGTGACTGCAACCAAGAGATAGAGGAGCAGAGTGTCACCTTTCTACCTCAGGGCCCTGTACTTAGAACTTACTTGACCCAGTAGCCAATCAGAAATGGTAAGAAGCAGTTGCAGAGAAATGGGAATAGTAGAGCCAGGAAATCAAAATTATACGGTGCAATGGGCTTCCTACCATGCGGTGCAAGGCCATTACAGGATATACAGAGTCAACAGAGTGAGAAATCTGAATTTCGGCGAGCTCTGGTGGCCTAGTGGCAAGAAGTTGCACTGCAATCCCAGAGGTTCGCGGTTCAAATCCACCAGATGCTTTGCTGGAGAAGGAGGAACAATCTCCTCCTGTACCAGTCAGATCTGATTTGACGGTACACAAAAAAATAATAAAAATAATAAAATAAAAAATAAATAAAAGAAATCTGAATTTCTTTGAGCAAGAGGTTTCCTAGCAGGTTAGGGTGCTTGGCAGAGCTAGGCCTGTCAACCTGTAGAGCTAGGGAGCTGAGCATTTTTTGGCTGGGAACTACTGACAAAGTGAGGTGCCTCTGGACACTTACTGGTGGAACTAAAGAACTTTACATGTAACAGTTACTTGAGGCCAAAATGTTTGCTGTAGAAGATTAAAGACTACAACCTTCATCTCAACATCCAAAATCCTCATCTGTCATCGATAAGAAGCAACATGATGGATGGAGAAAAGATTGAAATTGTCAACAATTTTGTATTATTTATATCCACTATCAACACCTTTGGTACTTGCAGTTAGGAGATCAGGAGACATATTGCATTGGGAAAGTCTGCAGTCTGGTACCTCTCCAAATTACTGAGGAGCAATGATGTCAGTTTGAAGACAAAGATGTGCCTGATTCAGGCCATGGTCTGTCTGTTCCATTACTTGTTATGAGCTGAGAGCTGGTCAGGGAATAAGGATGACAGAGAAAAATGAATGAATGAAAGAAGGATGGATGAGTGGAATGTATAAGGATGGAAGAATAGATTAGAGTTATGGTGTTGGGGAAGAATACTGAATATTCCATGGATTACCAAAAGAACAAACAGATGTGTATTGAAGAGAGTGCAGCCAGGGTGCTTCTTGGAGGCAAAGATGGCAAAGATTCATCTTACATACTTTGGATGTATTGCTAGGAGAGTCTACTCCTTTGAGAGAGACATCATGCTTGGAAAGGTGAAGAGTTTAGAAGACCCTCAACAAGATGGGTTGACATAGTGATTGCCTCAGTGGGCTAAAGTGTGTCAGAGATGATGTTTATGGCACAGCATAGGACAAAGTTCAGATTTGGTGTTCATAGGGTTGCTATAACTTGTACTCGTCTGAAGCACCTGACAACTACTCTAGGCCTAAGAGTGGAGGGGCAAGAGTCCAGCGGCCCTGAGAGGCCTGCCCCTGAGCATGCTTAAGAAGCTATCCTGATTGAAGGACTATATCCTGAGTTACTCCTGATCTTGAATTAGAAACTGTTATCTCCTTAATAAACCTTTTAACTATGAGTGTGGTCTATGTGTTCTGTGTGGTCACTGCAGTGAATTATTGATCCTAATAGAAAAAGTGCGATAGAAAGAACAACTGGTGTCAGAATTGATAAATAGTTGGAGGATGAAAGCATATCTGATCTCCACTTCTGTTGGTCAGCCTTGGATTTTTGGTGCTGATAATGATTTTCTTTTCCTCTTTGGGAATTAAATAGATTAGATGCCACCTGTCACACCATTTTTTCCCATTTGTGAGCAAAATAGTGTTACTCTTGTAACTTGAAATCCTCTTTTGCTCTTTTTTCTCTATTAGATAATAGAATAGCAAAAGTAGCTTTAAAGTAAGGCATTTACCCTTTCCCCATAAACCACCTTTTTTAAAAAAAAAACACCCAAAACCCCAAAACAAACACCACAACTAACTATTTTTTTTAAATTTTTATTGGGAAAAAACAAATTGGGGGTACAAGGAGGTGAGGGTTGGGGGCAGAAGGGTGAGGATGTGCAGGGATGCAGTTGCAGAGCTGCAGAAATTGGT